GTCTATTGGGAGCGCAGCCTCAGGAGGAGTGCGTAAAGGAGCTCGAGCACCGGGTATGGCAGGAGCTTTGGCAAGACAACACCTACCAGACTCCATGGTGGTATACGGCTCAGCAGACCCCCTGGTTGGCTGGGCATGACTGGCCCGAAGGGAATGATTTCTATGGCCCTGGTCACCTCTGGGATGCCCAGGAGGAAGACCTGGATTTCGGCAGCAAGGAGGAGTCGAGATTCTAGGACATCTATAACTACAGGATTGGCATGCAGATTTGGGCTGCTGCCCGCGAGGTGAGACGGGACATGACTCACCTGGTAACCATAGAGTGGGAGCTTGAGCAGAACTACCAACACCTACTCAGCTTAATTCCACCAGATTTCCCCCCCTTCAGCTGGGAAGACCCCCAGCGGCAGCCAGCATCCCAGGGAGAGGAGATTGTCGGTCCCTTGTCCCTGCAGCAACCATCATCATTGGGAGTCGGGACAGACGGTCTGACTCCCCAGCGGCAGTGTGTTGACAAGGGAGAAGAGACAACCGGTCTCTCTCCCCAGCGGCAGCCAGCATCCCAGGGAGAGGAGATTGTCGGTCCCTCGTTCCTGCAGCAACCATCATCACTGGGAGTCGAGACCGTCGGTCTGACTCCCCAGCGGCAGTGTGTTGACAAGGGAGAATAGACAACCGGTCTCTCCCCCAAGTGGCAGCCAGCATCCCAGGGAGAGGAGATTGCCAGTCCCTCGTCTCTGCAGCAACCATCATCACTGGGAGTCGAGACAGTTGGTCTGACTCCCCAGTGGCAGTGTGTTGACAAGGGAGAAGAGACAGCCGGTCTCTCTCCCTAGCGGCAGCCAGCATCCCAGGGAGAGGAGATTGTTGGTCCCTCGTCCCTGCAGCAAGTCTCCCCCCAAATGGGAGATATGTGACAAACTGCCTTTTGTCACTGGGTTTTTATGTGACCAACTGCCCTTTGCCCCTGGCTTTTGGAGGAGCCTGATTGCCAGCTTCCTGCCTCATGACTCTGGGGTGTATGGCCCTTTAAAAACTATATGTGGACATATTGGGACTTTTAAAAGACTTTTTCTGCCCCTTTGATTCCATGGGAGAATGTGCCTCTTCCCCTCCCCCTTTAATACCTATCCCATTGTTCTCCAGCAGAGCGTTGTCCCAGGGACACTGCCAGACCACTTTAAACTGGCTGCTTTGTCCATCCTCAATTTCTCATCAGCCCTTGCAAAACTTTAATCCCATAGCAAATCTACTCTGTTCTTGGGATCTGAGCGCTGTTCACCTATATTGGGCGCTCAGATCCGAGTTGTCTGGGAATAGGTTAAATGTGGGGGTTCTGTGTGAGATAATAGGAATTATGTATTTTATGTATTTTTATGTATTTTACTGTTGGTGTAAAATGGAGATATTTTCTGTACCTGGAAATAATTGAGTTTACTGCAGTTCCTTATGCCAATTATCTCCTGGATAGAGGGTAGGGAGTTTACTGTGTATGTGGGAGTGTTATTTTGTTAATGAGTGTTCCCATTGGTTTGTGTCCCTTTTTTTCACAGTTTACCACCAGGTCCAGGGGGTGTGCCTCTGGCCTGAAAACTTGGATAAAAGAAAGCCCTTTGGTGCTTATTAAAGAGATTATCTTGTACCTTCATGACGTTTCGGCTCATGTTTGGGGGATTGGAGAACTACACTCTGGGGATTGCTATAATCACTATACTCCCCAGGGTATAAATCACTAAGCTCTGCTAAGAGCTTGTTCCTGGTTCCTGCTCTCTGGAATTCGGAGAGGTCGACCTACTGGAAGCTGGACCCTGGTCTTGGGTCCAGAGCGGGTGGAGACGGTGAGACCCCCAACCAAGCTTCGTCGGTTCGTGGAGTCTGCAGTGGTTGTGGTGTCAGGTGGAGTGCTTGGAGTCCTCGGGAAGTACGAGGAGCATCCATCAACGGAATGTACCCGGTTGGGGTGCAAGCGGTTCCGTTACAAACGTAAATTTCAAATATTAGGCCAAAACAGACTCACTCAAAACATAGATGAGTTTAAAATCTTTAAAATAGAATGCTGCACAAATATATCAGCAAATAATAACAAATGGAATATGTTGCACAAGATTAACGCAAAAGCAAAAATATGTAACAGTTACAAATGTACTAGATAGTGGAAAAACTGGTAGAATTGATCATTCACATCAGAAAAGAAATCCACTGACAAATCTCCCATATGATGTCTCATTAGATTATTTGCCTGGTCCTTTTCTCTCCCCCATGTACTGCAGGCCCACCAGTAGGTGCCCAGTCCTTTGGCCTTACTGTGAAGGCTATGGTTTTCATATTACACTGCAGCCTGGCCAATATATAACATTTCAACCTTGAATCACTATGACTGATTGTATTCAGGGTTATAGTTACATTGTCACAAAAAAAATCAAACATCACAATTTTTACTGTCATGCAACTCTCAGGTTTCCATTTGCATCTAATCATGTCATTATCTACTATGTTTACTTTGTAGATTAGTAAAATAAATAACTTCTGCGGGTAGCTGTAGGAACAGTAACGGAAAGAGACACCTTCTACCTTTATACATTCTCAATGGCTTTTCTCCAGCATGGAATCCCGATCCATGTTGTCATTTAATTATATCCAAGTATTTAACCAGGAAAGGTAAATTTAGCTCTTGGTTAGTATGCCATAAGGTCTAAATGTTGTTATTACTTTGCAAGGATTAGCATATGTTGAACTACTTGCAGGTTTTAGAAAGTTATTGCACACTGCCTACACAGTGCCGCTTTAATTGGTCAGTCCCCTAGTTTGCTAACAGCAAGCTACTAAGACTCTGCCATATGATGCCAATAAAATTATCTATTTTTTATTACAATGGACATTCTAAAATATGTTACTGAATGAACCTCTTAAAAGGCAGAATTAGGGTATTGGTCTAAAGAAGTTCCATATAATGAAAAATGATCCCAACAACACTAATAATATAAAAGTGTACAAATCAGATATATTCGATATTTCATCCATGTGACCCAACAACACTGTTGTCTTGCTAAATTGTAAGGCTTTAAGACAAGCGATGCCAGTTAGTGGAAATTTCGTAATCCCAGTTAGTGGAAATGAGTCTAGCAAGCATATAAAATAGCAACAAGGCAAATGCACATGGGGTATACTTATAATTTAAAAAAGGACAACTCCAATACGATAAGGGTAGCTTTACAACATACCGTGTTTCCCCGAAAATAAGACCTACCCCGAAAATAAGCCCTAGCTGGATTATCGGGGTGGGCTACAATATAAGCCCTACCCCGAAAATAAGACCTAGGCATATAGAGAGCGCTCAGACGGCTGCCGCAGTGCCTCACCTCCCCTTCCCTGTAGCATGGCCGAGCTCCTCTCCGGTCCGCTACCCGCCAGGACTGACAGGAAGTGCACACTGAGTGTGCACTTCCTGTCAGTCCGGGCGGGTCGCGGACCGGAGAGGAGCTCGGCCACGCTACAGGGAAGGTGAGGAGAAGATTGGACGGAGGGGGGGGAGTATTACAGGGAGGGAGGGGGGGATAATATTACTGAGGGAGGGGAGAGGGGAGGGAGGGGGGATAATATTACAGGGAGGGAGGGGGATAATATTACAGGGGGGAGGGAGGAGGGGATAATATTACTGGGAGGGAGGGGGAGAGTATTACAGGGAGGGAGGGGGAGATAATATTACAGGGAGGGAGGGGAGGGGAGATTACAGGGAGGATATTACAGGGAGAGAGTATTACAGGGAGGGAGGGGAGATAATATTACAGGGAGGAGAGGGAGGGAGGGGGGGAGAATATTACAGGGAGGGAGGGAGGGGGGATAATATTACAGGGAGGGAGGGGGGAGAGTATTACAGGGAGGGAGGGGAGAATATTACAGGGAGGGGGAGGTGAGGGTCTCTGGGGGGTTACACAGCGCGGACACCGGCTGACAGACTGGCTCTAAGCCCTACCCTGAAAATAAGCCCTAGTGTGTTTTTTGTGACTAAAATTAATATAAGACCCGGTCTTATTTTCGGAGAAACACGGTACTGACATACTGAATGGCATAAACACTTAAGTGAAAAATGCTGGGGATAAATGGAATATCTTCAAATAAATATTAGAAAGGTACATTTCTCAGTATGTATCATTGGGTAATATATATATAAAATGAACAAACTGAAACCATTGTGGTTTGGTGGGACGGTAAACCAGGAAATTAAAAATATGAAGAGGGATTTTAAAGCATTTAAATTGGACAAATGATATGCAGCCTATTTAAGATATAAGGAAATAAATAGATGAGCTAAACTAGAAATTCATAGCCAAAGAGAGCAAAAGCAACCCCCCCCCAAAAAAAATAAAATAAAAAATTAAGCACATAAATTCTTTCAAAAAAAAAAAAAAGTTAAGTATAGATACACTAAAAACAGAGATGGGGGGGCGGAGCCTGACCAGCTAGCTGAGCAGACACGTGTTCACTGGGCTCCCACTGCAAATGCCGATTAATCTACTATAATTACTAATCCCAAACTCATACACAAGTTAGGGTGCCCTACCTGTGCTCAGGGTGCCCTGGTGAATCTCCTGTAATTTGAGTAATTTGGTGCACAGGAGCCCAAGGCGTCTGGTCCCGGCCTGCAGTTGACGGAACTGTGGAGAGATGGCTGCTTTCCCCATCCTTTCATCGGCGGATCCACAGGCACAATACTCCCACCCGGAACAGTGTGGGTGATCCCGGTCCAACCCTGGGAGGCAGCCCAGCTATACAGGAGGCAAGAGACAGGCCCACACAGTCAACTCACAGTAACAGAGCTGAGCACAATGGCGGACGCCACGTGCACATCAAGCCACTGTGAGGAAGAACCCGATATCCTGACAAGGCTGGAAAGCACATTCAAAGCCTTCTGGAAGAAAATGGCACACAGACTGAGGCAGGCTGCGACACACACATCGGATGAGTGCTTACCTGAGGTGCCATCTCCATGCTCCTGACAGACAGTCAAGCAATCCCCAGACCGAAGAGTGCAGACAAATGGCGCCGGAGAAAGTGACATCTCCCACCCGCACGCAAACCTACTCGACTATGTAGGGATAAGATGCAGACCCTTCCCAAGGACTCGCTCATATGACAACCAGCTGGACAGCTACAACAGCAGCAGATTCATGCCGGAACGCCTACTCTCTCTGAGGTACCAGAGGGAACCCTGATTGTGCCGAGAGACCTAAACTTCCAATCCCCCTTAAGCTGTGACAGCCTGCGGTACTCATCCTGGTTACAGGACTCTGTTCATCCTCTAGCTGGCATAGGTTAACCTGGGCCTGAAGGGCTCAATGGCTATTCATCTTACCTTCTGAGGATATATGGGCCACGTCTAACTACTCTAGCAACTTCTTATGCCATTCTTAAATTACTCGCTCCACAGCTAACACGATATCCCTCTGGTTTGGGGTCTCCTAAGGGACTTGTCCTGTCATATGCTCATGTTATATGCTTTATACCTTGTTCCTTTCATAAAACCAAAGAGTAAATAGCCCCTAGGAGAAAAACCCCAGATGACATGAAAAAAGGAAGTCCCTAGGGGATCTGTATGTATAAAATATACCTTTTATTGAGTCAAATAAAAAAAGAATTGTTTAATATAGGTGTCAACTAAATCATAAATTATAAAAATCAAAAATAGATACATAAACTAACTGAACCTAAATTATACAGGGCCCGTATAGAAAGTAAAGACACACTGAAATCATAAATAAATAATAACCGGGTGCAGTGACCACTAGTAACCCTTATTCTTATTAGAATCAGAACAACATGTCATGAGGTTACTCTAATAATGCCTGTATCACATAACAGACATGTAGTCTTAACTCTTTGTATAGCTGCTAAATTGGCTATTACCCGATATAACAGAGAATGTGTTTATTAGTCTTCTTTGAACTATTATACACAGGTTTGATGGATAGATTTGATGTAGAGGAACTAAAACCTCCTCATGCTCCTGAATTAGCTTAGACTATTGGTATAGGTATAGTAGGGTAGCTGATCTCAATGAATTTCCTAGACTGGAAACATAATAGTGAGACTAGATCAAAGGGGAGATTGAAATTGCTAACACTATCTACCCTTGATTGCTTCTGTTGCTGGCTAGAAAGAGAGCATCCTGTGTCTAAATAATATTACAAAGTATCCATATGTCTATCGTTAAGGTCCTGTAGCAGCTTGCAACTCCTAGATTACTTGAATGCCGGCTGACGCGCGTTTCGGCGCTGCTACAGTGCCTTCATCTTTGCATCAGACGAAGGCGCTTTAGCAGCGCCGAAACTCTTGTACTTGTCTGCTAAAATTTCTTTATCAGCTTACATATACCACTCTGCACGCAATATTATTACTACCCAGAAAATGTACTGTATTATCGAATACCCTTTATTGTTTAACTATGTATGCTAATTTTCATACAATTGATAATAAGATTGTTTGTTCCTCCTGAAGCACATCAAAAATTAAAAATACAATAAAAACAGAGATGAGTGTGTTAATGAAAAAAATGCAGAAATGATAAATAAATATTTTTAGGAAAAGTTGGATGGCAAAAACAGTGCTAGTAATAGCTCAAAAGTAATTATAATAGAAAAATAATATTGACTGTGCCAAAAGAGTTAAAAAAAAAAAAGATTTTTCAGTGAGAAAAAGAAGGGTTCATTTCTGGGTTTACTGGCAGAGGGATACAGTACTTAAAGGACCACTATAGGCACCCAGACCACTTCAGCTCAATTAAGTGGTCTGGGTGCCAGGTCCTCCTAGTTTTAACCCTGCAGCTGAAAACATAGCAGTTTCAAATAAACTGCTATGTTTACACTGCAGGGTTAATCCAGCCTCTAGTGGCTGTCTGCCTCCCCGATTTACACGAAGTAAATCGCACTTATTTGACGCTGGACGTCCTCACGGAGGACATATATGTGGCAAACCTAGCCACTCGGACTATAACTGGACACTATGCCTTTAAGGGTTGCCTATAGGTCTGAAGAGATATGCGTTTTAACCTGTATGTGTCTGCTTCATGTATTCCCTGCATTGCCTGTACCTATCTGTTCCGCCGAATGCAAATGGCGGTTTGTATGGGGATTCTCGTTTGATTCTCGTTCGAAGCGAATGCGATACCCCCTAATGGCCCACACACTTAGAGGCGTGTGGCGCTAGTTAACCGATTGCAACATTGTTGCAATCGGTTATTAGAGGCTCTCCTGGGTGGCCGTCGTTCGACTACCGACCATGCGGCGGTCGGTCATCTTGGATCCTTTGTTCCCTCAGCGGGGTTATGTCGTCGAGCGCCTGGTACTAAAAACGGCTACTCGACGGCATGAGCCCCGCTGAGCCTCCAGGACGTTCGGGAGTTTCGGGACGTTCGGGATTTTGTTCCCTAATAGCAATCGGTTCTTTTTGTATGTTTTATATGAATTGTGTTGTTCGTGCGGCGTTCGGTTATTTTAGCAGGGATCTGAGCGGTAATCTCACGAATGATACCCTCAGACCCCAGCTATCTACCGAACGTCCATTCGTGTAAATCCACTATATATTCACCAAGTTATTGATTTTTATGTGAATTATCGGTTCTGCTGCACGAGGGGATAATCCACTTAACGGTGCATTCTGGGAAGATTATCCCTCTCGTGCAGCGGTGCCTGATGGGAGAAATACGCTGTAATGTAAGTCCCCCATGTAGTACCCTCCTGTACAACCCCTGTAATGTCAGTAAGGAAACCCCTTGCTTGGGGAACTGCATAAATACTGTGACCTGTGATTAAAACCTCAGTTGACTCCCAGCCTATGTGTCGTCTAGTTCTTGGGAAGGAAGGGTTACTGCAGTGCTGTTTGGATTATTGTATGCTGATTCCCTGGATTATCCTTTGTTGTTCCTGTTACCCAGCGGAGATATCGTAGATTATACTGCCTCTCCGCTATAATATATATATTTTATTTCTTTTAATTTGAGAGAAATGTCAGTAGTTTTTAGAATAAATATAAATGTTCATTTTACTCAAACACATACCTACAAAAAACCTTTGGACTCAAGGTAGAAAAGGTAGAAGATTTATTTGGAGAATCAGAACATAAACATCTTGTTGTGGCTGCTGTAGAATGAATAAAAGCCACATGAGAATTATTCTGAAAAAAGAGAGGTGCATGTTTAAAGGGATGTTATAGTGCCAGGAAAACAAAGAGGAAAAACCCCTTCTGTCACTTACCTGAGTCCAGTGCCGATATCCCTTGGCACTGGTTCGGCTCTGCCTCCATTTCTCACCTGCCGACGTCAGACCTAATGTGCAAGAGTGACAATGTCCCCAATTGTATTAGTATTTCCCCTATAGGGGCCCATTCGCTCTGTGGGCCCCTGCGAACGTGGTGCCTGCCGGCCATGTGGTGCGGCCCAGTCCTGCACGGTACTATTGGCGGGTCTGTTGGGTGGCTAAGTGCTCCTCCCAACAACCACTGAAAGAAGGAGAACGTTGTGCAGAAGGAGAAGGAGAGAAAGAAGTCAGAGTGGGTACTCTGACTCCCATCAGCCTGAGACAGCCACTGGACCCCAGAGAAGTCACCCTCCTGCACCTAAAAAGTAGGAAAGAGGAAGGTGACTAAAATTATTTATATTTTGTTTGTGTGTGTTTGTGTATCTGTGTCAGTGTGTGCCCCTATGTATCTGTATGTGTGTTACTGTTTGTATCTGTATGAGCAGGGCAGGTGCAAGGATTTTTGCCGCCCTACGCAAACAAAAATTTGCCGCCCCCCCATATGCTCTGTCCAACATGTGACATCACAATACCCCACCCATATGATCTGCCATATGAGCCAACGTCAGTGATGCACACAGTGTCTTTTTTCAGGCAGTGTGTTTACACTAAAAAGCCTGCAGGCTATAGACACCAGAACCACTACATTAAGCTGTAGTGGTTCTGGTGATTATAGTGTCCCTTTTAATGTGAGGTAAATTAGAGATTAGTGCCACTAATAATATACTGGATTGCCTATTTACCACCAGATGAGGACAAGAGGATGATAATGGGCTCAGGCTGCAGTCTGGCTCCAATGGTCTTGTGTTAAAACAGGCTCTCTGGAGGCAGTGCTCACAAAAATCAACGAACAGGAAGCAGCTCCATTTTTTGGGGGCCCCTTACGCAGATAACAGTCTGGGCCCCCAGGGCCTGACCGTGAGTATGCCTACAAGGCCCGCCCATAAGCCTTATGCCTACAAGACCCACCCATGAGTTTGCTCAAAGGGAGTGGAGTGTATGTGTGTAGGGGATGTGATATGTCTTATTGTAGAGGATGTAATGTGTGTGTGTTCTTATGCAATGTAGTGTATAGGAATACCAGTTTGTGTAAGGGATGTAGTGTGTGTATATAGGGGATGCAGTGTGTGTGTGTGTGTGTGTGTAAGGGATGCATTGTGTGAATCTGTGTTTTTATTTGTAAGGGATACAAGGTGTGTTTCTGTGTATGTAATGTAATGCAGTGTGTGTGTCTGTAATGGGTGCATTGAGTGTGTGTGTAAGAGATGCATTAAGAGAAACAGTGTGTTTGTGTGTAAGAGATGCATTGCGTGCTTCTGTGTATGTGTGCAAGGGCTGCATTGTGTCTGTGTTTGTGAGGTATGCTTTGTGTGTGTGTGTAAGTAATGCATTGTGTGTAAAGGTGAGTGTGTAAGGGAAGCATGGTGTTTTTCTGTGTGTGTAGGATTCACTGTATGTTTTGTATGCATTGTATGTTTCTGTGCATGTGTGTGTAGGGATGCATTGTGCGTTCCTGTGTATGTGTAAGGATGCATTGTGTATGTCTAGAGTGTAAAAGAGAGGGGTTTTGGCCCCTCTGTGTGTCTTTCCCCTCCCAACCCCAGGTCTCTCTGTGTGTCTCCCTCCTGAGCCTCTCTGTGTGTCCCTTAGTAATTTTCTCTCCCCTCCTGTCCCTTAGTGCTCTTCCCTGCTTCCCTGTTCCTTAGTGATCTCCCCCCTCCCTTGTCCCCTTACTGGTCTCTCCTCTCCCCTGTCCCTTAATGGTCTCTCCTCTCCCCCCCACTTCTCCTGGTGGTCTCTCCCCCCCTCCCCTGGTGGTGTCTCTTCTCCCTGGTGGTGTATCTCCCACTCCTGGTGGTCTCTCCCCGCTCCCCTGGTGGTCTCTCTCCTCCCTCCCCTGGTG